AATTGAGTATATTATTGTCACGGTAGTTTACCCCAACTCGCAAGATTTAGTCCAACAATTGACACTATAATGCAGATACGTCTTACCGGACCTTAGAATGGCCGGACTCGACGTAGAGCAGAGAAATACAGAGTCAGGAACGATCCGAGGTCAAGGGTACAAAGAGACAGCGAAAACAAGAACTAGCCAAGGTCTGGTACACAGTAATCAGTAAGCCGGCAAACAAGACAAAACAGGGATAAAGAGATAAATGGAGTCAGATACAAAGCCAAGGTCAAGTACGAAAAATCACAACTGAACACAACAAGCGCTAAAGGGAACTGAAACAGAAACCACGATAGGGCAGGGAGTTAATGGAGAGGTAAGTATAAATACCCTAACATTTAATTTGATTGGCCCCTGTCATAGCCACGCCCCCAAAATATGAGTGTATGGGGAATGTGGGATAACAGGGGCCAATGGGAGACCGTTTTAGTTTTCGGCTCCCACTTTCCCTTTAAGAGCGTGCCCGAGACGCACGGCGCGCTCTTGGAGCAAGGCGGGACACGTGACCGAATCCCACGGCCAGTGCCCGCCGTCATCCGAGCCCTGAGCGAGCCGCGCTCGGCAGGGACTGAGGACCTCGGCTGGCCCCCGGATAAGGTAAGTACCGCTACAATTATCTTTTGTTGATAAACTTACAACATAACACGCAGCCAGAATTATAGTCAGCCACAATTTTTTATTTTTTAAATAAGGTATGGTAGATTAAAACAGGAATTACACATGAAATCATATAAGTACTGTAGTGCAAAATGTATTACTTTTATTATCATGATTTTTTTTATCATATACATAGTGCCAAAGTGTATTTTACAGCAAGTGTTTATTGACCATAAAAGCATTAGTTGGTTTAATATAATAACTGACTAAATATAAAGAACCTAGTTCATCGTTATTAAAAATTTTTAAATAAGTACGTTATTTAATGAGATTTCACTTTTTCTGTTGTATAGCAGATAAAACCTATTGTTTGCTTGTATTTTCAATATCATGGAGGACTGAGATTATAACTGACATGTAACACCACAGAAAACACAAAAACAGGTAACATATGGTTATTTGCTAAAGTGTGATTTGTTGGGAATTCAAAGTGAATTTTACGTTTTAGGCCACAAGAACTGAATTGGAAAAATAATATCCCAGTTAGTTTAGTCTCTAGTATTGGTGTTTATAGAAGGTGCTTCAAGAAATTTAATATTTATATAATTTAAATACATACATCAGAGTTTGCAGGAATCTATGATCTGCAAACTTTCTTTGTCTTAGGGATGAGCATAACCACCTAGCAAAGCTAGTGGGTATGCGGCAGCCTCCCGGAGTCAAATGCCAGAGCTGAAAAGGCTTGCGCTGTGCATCTGCACAGCAACAGTCTTTCAGCCAATCAGGTGATCAGGAGAGCCGTGCTGAGTGCGGGAATCCTGATTATCTCGGATTTTTAAAATTGGGAAACTGCGAATGGTTAGCACATCCCACGAAGAACGAAGGATAAATATTTCCCACAGTGTACAGGGATATAATTAAACATCTAAACACAAAATAAAATTATTCAAGTTGCTCATAGTACAGGGGAACAAGAAAAATGTTTAATGAATCATGAAGACATACAAGATAGACTTGAAACTTTGTATAAAACAGCTGGCTGAAAAACAAGGCAACAATGTATAGCAAAGGAAGGTATCAAATGAACACTGGTACCCTTCATCATAAATTGCAACATATAAGTTCAATAAAGACAAAAGAAATGTTGTAACAAGTCCCAGCAAACAGATTCTTCATGCAGGGAGTCCATGAGAATATCAAACTGACGAGACTACTAGCATCCAATCCTCCTACATAGGTGGATCCTTGGTTTGTTGGTCTTGTCTTGGAGTACCGTTATTGTCTGTAAAAAACAAAACAGAGAACAGTTATCAAAAGGCTGAATAAGCCCCAGATAACCTTGTGTTTTAGAAAAAAAAAAAAACTACCACCAGCAGGCAAAACCCTTAACTTGGAGGAGGGTGGGACGGGCGCTATTGCTAGGTGGTTATGCTCATCCCTAAGACAAAGAAAGTTTGCAGATCATAGATTTCTGCAAACTCTGATTTGTCCTCCGGGAGGCATAACCACCTAGCAAAGCTGGTGGTGGTCCTAAGAAACTGAAGGCATTCAACTTCTGATGGCCTCCAGTAAAATCTAACAAAGGTTTTACTGGACAACCATCTCACAGCTTTCAAGATAATAGGGAGAGGAAGGCCCTTCCCTGCTGCTTTAGTAGCCAAGGCTCCCCTAATTGAATGGCTTTTGAACACAGATACATTAATTCCAGCCGAAGACATGGCGGAAAGTATCCAGCCTCTAATAGAATTAACCTTGGCTGGACGAAAGGGATTCCTTGATGTAATGAATAATTGATTGATATCTTTTCTAAATACAATCTCAAATACAGGGCATCCTGAGTAAGGTTGGGGATCAGGAAGTTTAAAGCAGATCCATATGTCTTGATTGAACTGACAGATAAACCAGAATGGAACTTAAGAAATTCTAAAGCCAATGGAACGGTGTCCCATTCTTTGAATTCCTCGTTCATCTTTCTATATCTTACCCTAGTTCTACGTCTTAAAGATGAGTTAATAATATCCAAGACCTGATCCGATAAAAGAGGATGTGTTAACAGCCTACCAAGGCTGCGATCCACATCAGCTGCGGGAGCTTGAGCAGGAGATCGCTGGTTCCCTGAAAGCAGTCCACTGTCATGCCCAATGGGATCTTGGTTCCCTTGACTAACTGATGGATCAAGGGATACCAGGGTCTGGAGGTCCATACTGGATAAACGAGAACTAAGCTCTGCACCCTGTCCCTGCGGATCTTCTCCAGCACTTTCATCAGTAAAGATGGAGGGGGGAAAGCATAAGGGGCTGGAACATCTGTCCATTGGAAAGACATTGCATCCATTTTCCAAGCTCCCTTTGTCCAGGTCCGGGAGACGAACCTGGGAGTTTGTGCAGATGTTTGCGATGCGAATAGATCTACCTGTCTCTGGCCGAAATTGCTTTCTATCCATTGGAAAAGAGCAATCTTTAATTGAATTGTTGCCAGGGACAAACTTTGGCTAGAGAGAGAGAGTCTGCAAGCTCGTTTGCCTCTCCCGGAACATATTCTGCGAAAACCTGAACATTGCTTGCTAAGGCCCAGGACCAAAGATCTAGAGCCTCTAAACAAAGACCCCTTGATCTTGTGCCCCCTCTGTGGTTTATATAAGCCACGCGGTCCTGTTGTCCGATTGGACTTTTACCAACGTCGGTGACAGGTTTAGAGGAACTAGGCCCTGGAGAGCTAATTTTATAGCTCGTAACTCCAAGATGTTTATATGGAGGAGACTCTCTTGGTCTGACCAAATTCCTCTTAAGGCATTCTGGGCTGTAAACGCCCCCCAACCGTGACTTGAGGCATCTGACGTCAGAGTGACTGCCACAGGCTGCTCTAACAGGGGACGGGGAAGTGGAATTTCTAACTCCAGAATGGACTTCAATTCTTCCCTGACCTTCTTGGGGAGAACAAATTTTGATTCCCAATGGCCGCCCTGTCTTAGTCGGTTGCCTAAAAACAGCTGACTTCTCCTGCAAAGTAAGGGGGAATTGTTGTATGCTGGTGTTAAAGCTATTAATTTCCCGATAATCTTTGCTAGGTCTCTCAAGGACCAACTCTGGTGCCTGAGAGATGAGTTCAGATGTACCAGTAATTTGTCCCATTTGTCTTGAGGGATTCCTAGAGACATAGTCCTGGTGTTCAGTATGAGTGGGAATTAGGACTGATTTCTGTAAATTTACTACAAATCCTAAGTCTTGTAAAAGGGAAGCAAGGTAATCCCTCTGAGAAGCAAGGGCTTCCCCATCTGGGTGCATGAGCAGGATGTCGTCTAGATAGTATAGACACATGAAACCTTTTTGTCTGACATGAGCTATCACTGATTTCATAATTCTGGAAAATGTGTATGGTGCGTTGGATAGGCCAAACACCATAACGGTCCACTGCCACACTTTCTCTTTCCACTGAAACCTCAGAAAACGCCTGTGTTTCTTGGCTATGGGGACTGAATGGAAGGCATCTTTTAGGTCCAACTTTATGCATAAAAAAGCTTTCTGTACTAAGCCTAGCAGATCTGATAAACCCATCCTGAACCTTTTCCTTTTGATGAAAGCGTTCAGAGACCTCACGTTTAGGACCGGTCTCCAGGAACTGTCTGATTTTGGGATTGGGAACAATGGGCTGACCCATCCTGTAATAGACATGTCTGCCAACTCTATTTTCCCTTGACTTAAAGCTACAGAAAGGGAGGCATCTAGCACTGGGTTCACCTCTCTGTGGGGTGCAAATTTCTGGACTGGGAACTTTAAAAGGGGGAGTTGTAAACCCCTTTGAAAAATCTTTAGAACCCATTTGTCTGAGGAAATATTCTTCCAATTTAGTGGCATATGAGGAGGCACACTTACTTGAATGCATGGGTTTTCTTTTGAAAGCTGAACCACCTCTGGAATGCGCTCCTCTGCCACCGCCTGGGAGCTTGTGTCTTCCACTGTAGTGGCAGTACTGGGCCTGGTGAGAGGCTTCTCGGGACGTTCCTGCAGCCCTATAGGGGCGCCCCTCTGTCCGAAAGGGCTTTTTGTAGCCAGGGACGGACTTCTTGAGTTCTGAAAAGGATCTCCTTGCCTTGTAACGGCCTTTAACCTCCTGAATGAACGAGGGACCGAATAGGTAAGAATCCTCCATATTTGGGAACTCATGCGATTTGGGGGCTAGGTCAGACAGACCTGCTGCATGGAGCCAGCAGGATCTGCGGATGTTAGATATGTAATTAAAGGATTGGCCAATAATTAGCACTGCCCTGCCAGACGCTTTTAAAAGGGCCATCTTAGATGCCAACAGAGATGAAGCGGAAGGTTTCTGAGCATTGCCTTCTTTTTCTGCCTTATCCAGCATCAGTAATAGTGGGCCCACAGCATCAGCAATTTGAACTGTATATTGCGAAAAGTCTGGTCTGTGGGATCAGAGGATACGCTGCTCCCTGTGATGGATAACAGAGCAGGATCTACCTCTGGGGCCATTAAAGCCTGAATGTCCGGGATACCGATGTGGTTCCTGAGGAGAAGGTCATCCTCCTTAACCAAGGGGGATCTGAAGGCTAGTTTTGCAAAATCTCTAACCTCAGAATTGTGCTCCATAGCCCATCTGGAGTGAAATAATTTTGATGGGAGAGTCTTTCCTAGGAGACTTACTCTGGCCATCTGAACATTGCTTAGCTTCCCTCGCTCAGTGTAAGCTGCTGAACGAACCACTTCCTCGGATTCCCAGTCTATTTCTGGAGAGCCGTATCTGGAACTGGGACGGCTTTGGGAGGAAGAGTGAGCAAACGATCTAGAAGAGGAAGGAGAGGGACTATCTAACCTCCAACGAGATTTGTCCTTTTTCTCTGGAAGGTGTTTCTGGTGCTCAAACGAGGGAAACACGCTATTCCTTTTTTGGGGTCCTGTCCCCTTAAATTTACGCTTACTCAAACGAGTATGAGGGGAAGGAGGAGCAGAGAAGTTTTCCTTAGACGAGGAACTGGCGGAAGAGACCAGCCGCCTTCCTTTATTCTTTTTACTTATAACTGGGACCAAATCCTCCTCAGAAGATGAAGAGGATAGATCCCTGGCAAGGAAAGCTCTCTTATGGAGCTTTCTGACATTGATGGGGCTGCCTTTAAGAGAGGCATCCACTAAATCTGTGGCAGACACAGAAATAGAGTCCTCCATGAATGATGCCATTTTTAAAAATCGGAGGTAATCAGGATTCCCGCGCTCAGCACGGCTCTCCTGATCACCTGATTGGCTGAAAGACTGTTGCTGTGCAGATGCACAGCCCGATCCTTTTCAGCTCTGGCATTTGACTAGCCATTTGACTAGCTTTGCTAGGTGGTTATGCCTCCCGGAGGACAAAAAACATTGTAGTGTACTGCTTAAAAATTCCAAGTTTGTATCCTTAATAAGTAAATTCAGAAATGTGTGACATAAACTTCTAAATTCTTCTAAATGTTCTTAGTGTACTTTTCAAGTAAGTGTAAGTATGTGCAAATCAGCAAATGCATTCATTTCAAGTGTATCAGCTGTGATCCAAGTGTGAATAATAAATAAAATATTTGAGCCATTATCAAGCTAATAAACTTGGCAGCAGTTTAAAGTACTCTGGATGGAGAATACCCCAAAAACAGAAAAAATGAAAAAACAAAGCAATAGTGAAGATTGGTTATAGGAATGTTTAGAGTATCTCCCCAATTTATCCCTTTGGACCTCCACTCACATTTACTAGAACCTCACACTTGGCTCTAGTTTGTACGCCTCAGAGTCTCTTCTGGGGGATTCCTTCCCTCTTATGTCTGGTGATATCAACCTCCGGTGATAAAACAGATAAAAAACACAATCTAATGCAGACAAAACAGTATGGCAGAGTGAAGAAATATATGAGTGGCCACTCACATGTTATAGAGCCTTTTAATAATTTTGTTCTCTATTTAACCCCTTAAGGGCCAAACTTCTGGAATAAAAGGGAATCATGACATGTCACACATGTCATGTGTCCTTAAGGGGTTAACCAGAAATTTAAACCTTACTTTGAATTCCTGACAATTTAACTTTAGTGAATAACTCTTATATTGTTGAGGGATTCTTTATTGAGGCTGATGGTAATTATTGGTTTCTTTTTTGTTGTTGTTATATTTGTATTCTTTTTATTTTTATGTATTTTTCTGTCTGGAACAGAAAGATATCTAAACATCCAACATGTATCCTTGGTAGAAGTACTGGAAATGTTCTATCAGAAAAACATGTAAAGCAGCAAGGTCATTTATTTAAAGTGAAGAAACAATGTATATTACTCTTTTAGCAAAAACAAAACATTTTGTTTGGACTTAATGTAAATGCTCCGTGGTGATTTGGTTTTACTTATTTTTTTACAATTATATTTTTTATTATAATTTTTGAGAAATCAAACATATATATTTAACAGCATTTTTCGAGTTACTTCATAACAATATAGTGAATTACATTATTCCAATGTATTTCCATCCAAATCCAATCTTAGGTAGATAGTTATTACGTAAGAATAACTAATATAGTCTTGAATTACATTTCTGAAATACTGCCGTCAAAAAGTATACATTACACAACAAATAACACAAATAAAACATGAGGACATCCACAGAGAACAGGGAGAACGGACAATTTCAGTAACACTTCTTAAATAAGATTAGGTCAACATAGAGCCACTTTAGGGATTCGATTGTCAATATATTGCCAAGTAGATGCATCTGTGCCAGGGTTTTCTTTATTTGGAGAAACCAATCGTATTATTTATAGTAATCAAACCAGTTTGCCGATATATTGTTATAGGTATCAACATTGCTGTCTTTAAAATAAACAGCCTTTTCCATTATATTTTGGTAGTGGATTTGGGCTTTGCTATCTATTAAAAGGGGAGGTTCATTTTTTATCCAGTTCCTAGCAATACATAATTTGACAGCCATTAAAACATGGTTAAATATAAAGAATGTTAAGACATTTTAATACAATAAGAATCTTTTTGGAGTCAAAGTGATATTTAATTTTAAATCAGTAAAAAGTTTAGAGACTCCCAATTTAAGGATATCTAAGCCAATGCAGTCCCACCAGATATGTTTAAGTGAACCAAGTTCTCTATTACATCTCCAGCAAAAATTGCAGGAATTTGTTTGAAATTTACATAGTTTAACAGGAACCATATACCATCTATGAATGAGCTGAAGGAAAGTTCCTTGTATGTTTATACAATGAATCGTTTTCCTTATTAATTCTAATGAATTTGACCAGGCTTGACAGGGGAAGGACTTATCCAGATCGTTTTCCCATTTAATAACAGTATTCAATTTAACTTCTTGATTAAGTGTATCCAAGATCCTTCTAGTTCTTGAAGGTTTATTAGTGACCTCACCATATATAATCTTATCAAATGGCAAGTCCCTGATTATGGATGTTTTATATAAGAAATCTATTATTCTTAGATAAGTAAAATATTATTTATTAGACAGACCTGATCTTTCATGTAGATATGAAAATTTACTACTCCCAGAAATACCATATAAGTCTTGAAATTTTACCAACTCTATCACTGACCAACCAGACAAATTAAGATCCTGGATAAAACGCTTCAAGACTTCTAAAGGAGCATTTATAGAGATTTGATTTGGGGAGAAAAAATATTTCTTTATCGGCTCTATAGATTGGAAAACATGAGAAATAAGTACGTTTTTGAATATTTTCTTATCTTCCCAAAAAAGACCAAAAGGGTCAAAAGTACCACATAATTTTTTTTCATATATACACCATGATGTCATTATTGAATTTCTGTTTCTGCATTCCAAAAAATGGGAAAACATTACAGTATCGTGAATATATAATATATTCGGGAAATATAATCCTCCGTCTGCTAATCTGGCCGACATAACTTTAATGCAATCCGTGGTTTCTTACCACCCCAAACATATGATATAAATAAGCAATGGAATAAATGTAGTGCCTTCTTTGGAACTCTAAGGGGAATTTTGCGAAAAAGATATTCCAATTTTGGAAGTAAATATGCTCTAATAATATTTATTCTTCCCAGCCATAATATTTGTAATTTGGACCATTTAGAGATAGTGTTTCTAAATTCTCTAAGAAGTACATTATAGTTGTCAGTGATCCATACATCAATATTAAAAATATAAATTATTCCCAGGTAACAAATAGAATTAGTAGACCTGTTACATTTATGGTCATTATTCAGAGTTTCTACCCGGGGCTTTTTATTTATTTATTTTAAAAATATTTTACCAGGAAGGATACATTGAGATTTCTCAATTTACGCAAGAGGTTGATAAATGTATAATAAGAAAGCAAGTAACAAAAATATTGTTGTTTAAGACTAAACAGGTACTTTATTCTGATCTGGGATGGTGGCAGATAATCAAAGAAAGGAGTCCCTGCCAAACTAAATATAACTATAGGGCAATGCATTGTGTACCTATGACACTTAGTGAAATTATTTAGTGGCTCATCAAGTATAATATATTAGTAATCGACTTGGTAAAGTAAGGTGCAGCTCAGTCTCTCCTCTGTTAAACCAAATATACAAACTAAATCAAAGGAGTATAATTATATACTGACACTGAACGCATAACATGTTATTTATACAAACAATAGTGTAACAATAGGAGTCATGGGGGGGATTACAGTTACAAAGGGACTCCAGAAAATCAAAATAGCGTGTGTTCATGTACAATATATTTCCCCCTGCTTGGGATGATGGGGAAAAGGGCTTTCAATATCTTATTCGGTGGGTTCCTGCTCAGATCGCAAGCTGGTTTTTGCTCATCTTGTGCCATTACATAAAGAACATCTCTGAAACATATCAGACTGGTCCCACCCATACGGGCAGTCCAGATCCGAAATGCCAGCAAGAGACACAGCAACCCCAGACGATCGTTTCAGCCTTGTTAGGCATCATCAGTGAGGCATAGCTGATATCTCCCTAGGCACCGTGAGCAAGGGGTCCACGTCTGGATTATCCCTTTAAACTTGTGGAGAGCAAAAAAATCTTTTTGTTTTGCCCTCCCCCTCAAGATTCTAGCCAGATTTATTGTAAGTGTTGAGGGAGGGGTACTATCAGGTGCTGTGTTTATAGTGCATGTAAAGTGTGTTTTTGTGTGTAGTGAATGCAGAGGATGTGTGTAGTGAACATGGAAGGTGTGAATAGTGGATGCAGTGTACAGTTATGCTCAAAAGTTTGCATACCCTGAGAGAAATTGTGAAAATCTTGGCATTGATTTTGAAAATATGACTGATCATGCAAAACAATGTCTTTTATTGAAGGATAGTGATCATATGAAGCCATTAACGTCTATGTATAAATAGTCAATGAGTTTGTTAGCTCTCACGTGGATGCACTGAGCGGGCTAGATACTGAGCCATGGAGAGCAGAAAAGAACTGTCAAAAGATCTGCTTAACAAGGTAATAGAACTTTATAAAGATTGAAAAGGATATAAAAAAATATCCAAAGCCTTGAAAATGCCAGTCAGTACTGTTCAATCACTAATTAAGAAGTGGAAAATGTGGGGATGTCTTGATACCAAGCCAAGGTCAAGTAGACCCAGAAAGATTTCAGCAACAACTGCTAGAGGAATTCTTCTGGATACAAAGAAAAACCCACAGGTAACCTCAGGAGAAATTAAGGCTGCTCTGGAAAAACCCGGTGTGGTTGTTTCCAGGAGCACAATATGATGATTCTTGAACAAAAATGAGATGCATGCATGGTCAAGTTGCCAGAAAGAAGCCTTTACTGTGCCTATGCCACAAAAATACCTTGATTAAATATGCCTGACAACTCCTTGACACGCCTCACAGCTTTCAGCACACTGTAATTTGGAGTGACAAGACCAAAATAGAGCTACATGGTCACAAACATAAGCGCTATGTTTGGAGAGGGGTCTACAAGGCCTATAGTGAAAAGAATACCATCCCCACTGTGAAGCATGATGGTTGCTCACTGACATTTTGGGGGGGGGGGGGTGTGAGCTCTAAAGGCACAGGAAATTTTATGAACATTGACGGCAAGATGAATGCAGCATGTTATCAGAAAATACTGGCAGACAATTTGCATTCTTCTGCACGAAGGCTGCACATGGGACGCCCTTGGACTTTCCAGCATTGTAATAAGCACAAGGCCAAGTTTACCCTCCAGTGGTTACAGCAGAAA